ATCTGAAAGACTGAGTGTTTTGTCCTTCATCAGATTGAGCTCTCTGAAAGGAAGAGGAAATATGAGCTGGACGTCCTGATTCTCTTTCCCTTCAGCCCAGTCCAGGATGAACTTCTGCACAGAGACTGTTTTTCCAATGCCAGCGACTCCCTTTGTCAGCACAGCTCTGATGGCTTTGTCTTGTCCAGGTAAAGGTCTAAAGATGTCACTGCATTTGATTGGTGTGTCCTCTGTTGCTGCTCTCCTGGATTGTGTCTCAATCTGTCTCACCTCGTGCTCATTACTGATCTCTCCACTCTCACTCTCTGTGATGTAGAGCTCTGTGTAGATCTCATTCAGGAGTGTTGGGTTTCCCTGCTTTGCTGTTCCTTCATAAAGACACTGAAACTTATTCTTCAGATTTGATTTAAACGTCTTGAGGATTTCAGAATTGGAGTCATGGCTGTAAAACCAACACAACAGAATATCACACAATCACAAGTTAAAGAGGTACATGTATAGTGCCTTAAAGAGAGAATGATATTTTGTTCTCTATATAATAATATTATTTTATATATTTTAGAACAACTGATTTTGTCCATACCGATTTTTGTTATTTGTCAAAATATTTTACCTGACACCAGGATACATGCTTTCATCAAAGTCCTGTGGTGGATTCACAGACTCGTCATGTTTTATTTTCTTACAGACGGATTCTGTTACAGCTGGTCTGGGTCGCAGGATTCGCATTAAATAAAAAAATAAATAATTAAATACTTTGATATTTAAGATTGATACTAACTGAATAATTCTGTAAACAATTTCCCAATTGCTACATAATTTATAGCAGCCATAAACCGCTTGTACAGTGAGGCTAATGAATTGACTACTTGGTGGAATTTTCTTCTTTTTCGTTCAACAATGACAACAAAGATCTATTCTATTCTATTCTGTATCTATACTGTATTATGTGAACCCATGAGCAGGCCCATAATATTTATACACTGCTATTGAACACTCCAATCAAAGACCGATTTAATGTGAGAACACTATACAAATTCCCTGTGAAAATCTAATCATAATGTACACATGAAATGCTATTAGTATATACTGAAATTTAAAGTAATACCTAAGATTGTGTACCATTAAGCCATGAAAGGCCATGCATTACAGTTAATTTGATCATAAGTGTTACGATACTTGGCATTGTTATTTGTGTGGGTGTTGTTTTCTGTACTGGTGCATGTGTGCAGGTATTGGCTGTTCATCAAGGAACGTGATTGGCGAATCCTGAAGCAGATGACTTTAAAAAGGGCGGTGCTACCAACCCAAGGGAGCTCACTCTGGCGTTTGCTTCCGTGGCGTGAGGAGCTCCGGATTCCGTCTCCGTCAACAGATCACCAACAGCGTTGTGGTTGCTGTACATGGTTCTTGCTATGTCTGATTTATTGTTTTTATATTCTGAGAAAGTCCTGGGAGCGTAGGAGGGGTCTGCCCTTTACTTTGACCTAATTTTGTGATGTGTTTTTGTTTAGGGAGTTAGGGAAGTTGAATTGTATCTTTTTTTCTTTATAATTAGGCCATCTAAATCTTTTCTTTATTTTATTAGTGGTTTTGTTTATTATTTTGGCCATGGGCCTCTCCGAAGCTAAAGCTCCTTTCATTAATTTCATTCTTATTTAATAAATTATTTAAAACTGTCATTTGTCTTTGGTGATCTGTTGGCTGTGGTCGGAATCCCGTTACATCACTCTTTCGTCTCGTACCCTAGTAAAAATGGGTCGTAACAATAAGCAATTGTGTACCTGTGACTCTGGCTTTTGTCTCCACTCTTCATTTGTAGTGGAGGATCCATAGACCAGTCACTCTTCATGGACACACAGCTGGGCTCTGCTGAATCTGAGCTCTTCTGCTGAGCCAAACTGAAACAGAACAGTATTCACTATACAAATTTCCTGCAAAAACCAAATCATAATGTACACAAATTAATGATATTAGTATATACTATATATACGGGGAAGTCGTGACCTAATGGTTAGAGAGTCAGACTCGTAACCCAAAGGTTGCGGGTTCGAGTCTTGTGCCGGCAGGGATTGTAGGTGGGGGGAGTGAATGTACAGCGCTCTCTTCCACCTTCAATACCCTGACTGAGGTGCCCTTGAGCAAGGCACTGAACCCCCAACTGCTCCCCGGCACCGCAGCATAAATGGCTGCCCACTGCTCCGGGTGTGTGTTCACGGTGTGTGTGTGTTCACTGCTGTGTGTGTGCACTAAGGATGGGTTAAATGCAGAGCACTAATTCCTAGTATGGGTCACCATACTTGGCCACATGTCACGTCACTTTTTCACTTTTTATACTGAAATGCACGGTAACACCTGAGATTGTGTACCTGCGGCTCTGGCTTTTGTCTCCACTCTTCATTTGTAGTGGAGGATCCATAGACCAGTCACTCTTTACGGACACACAGCTGGGCTCTGCTGAATCTGAGCTCTTCTGCTGAACTGAACTGTAATACAGCAAACAAGAGGCTTTGGTGACATCAACTGAAAAGTGAAGCTGTTTCAGATGTAAAGTAACTTGTTATATTTTGATAATGTGTCTTTTTAATAATAAAGCCAGGAAAAGTGTATTAGCGAAAAATATTAAGTTAGATTTCATGTTGTCTTTAATGAGAGTACCTGCATCCCGGAGAAAAATCTCCATCTTTGGTTTTTTGTACTTGACTCATTCTGTCCTCACGGAGCTGCACTGGTGCGTCTGATTAGTCTGATCTCCTCTTACTGACTCTGACTGGAAATAACAGAAACACTGATTCAGACACATTAAACTCTATCACAGTAATTTAGCTTCATGTAATGTTGAACCTGAATGTATTTATAAATGTTGCTATTGAGTAAACTGAATTTAGTCAGAACACACCCCGCTATGTTGGTTGTGTAAACACCAAAGACAGAAGGCATGGGCTAAGGCTATTAAAATATGTTCTTGAACAAGTCAAGTTCACTTATGATTGGAGCTGGTCGATATAACGAGAAAATTAAGTCGTTATAACGAGAAAACAAGAAGGAAAAAAAAAATAATGCATGGCCGCTTAGAACTTCCGTAGGTCTGAGCAAAGATGCTCACAAGTAGTTTCTACCATTTCCTGGTTTTGACTCATATTCTTGCTCCCCTACCACTAGGGTTTACTTGGTATGATCCATTTTGCTTTAACTTTACCAAATGTAATGTGAGGAAGTCACACCCACGGGGTTATATGTAAACAAAGGAAACTGTGTTCTCGCTTATTGTTTCTAAACATGACTGCTGTGTGGTGTAGCCCTATTCTTCGGTTTTGTTACAGTGGAGTTGTATTGTTTTAGTTATAAATATTGTTTTATTTTTACATTATTGTTATTACTTACCTATAAAGGATTCTTATTTTTCGTTGTTTTTTTCATGATTATTTAATTAGCAGTGGATGAGGTTATACTGCAGGACAGACGGCGTCAGCAACATACGATCGAAAAACAATAAACGGTGATTGAGCGATAATAATAGTTTAAACGATGCAGTACAACAATAAGCGAAAACCGTAGCTCGTATATGTTAGTGATAACATTAAGCCGCGTTAGCGTCAAACCTCGCGACGTCGTGACGCACAGCTGATCGGGCTTACAACGTTTTACAAAAGGTGTTTATCTACCAAATACAATCTTCACGCGAGCTTCTGTGTCTCAAAATGACCTTTTATACTCACTTTTTGTGCTAGGATAACGTGACGCAGTTACTTTGAGGAAAATATGGCTCCTGTAACTGTTACTTTCACTTTGCTGGAAGAAACCATTGTAGCGCCAGAGGGCTTTTTCAAGTCAACATGTAACTTATGTGATGTTTTAGATGAGACTAAAGCGGTATCGACGCTTCTCATAAATACACACCGATGCGGATAACAATAACGTACGATAGTAATCTGGCTCTATGATGGTAAATATGGGTAACAGACAGTGGATACCTGGCTTATGAATATTAATTAGGCGACGTGCCCAGAACACGTTTCTGATTGGCTGTAAGTCAGTGGGGGGTGGCATTTATCCAATCAAATCCCTACTAAGATGTTGCGTTTTCTCGTTTCCTCAATTTGGTATTTTTAAGATTCTCTGAAGAAAATAGTCTCCGCAGTCGTAAGAATGTGTATTTCAGAATGTTTAGCTGGCCACCTGTGGGACTTATAATTAGACTCGAAAAAGACACTTCATCAAACAATGTTTCATTTATGCAAAAAAAAAAAATTATCACATGAAATAAAGATTTTAGATAATTCGTTCATAATGTCTGATGCTGTGCATGTTAGAGACTGTGTGTGATGGTAATCTACTTCATATGTTATTGACTTTATAAAATACAAAATTATATAAAATAAAATGGAATAATGTTTCTGAACAAAAGACGTATTGGTTTTCATGATTAATGACATTTCTGATCTGACTTCTGAACTATCACTGTCACTAACTCTTCTATCACTGAAACGATCAGTTTCCAGATTATAGTTTCCATCTTAACAAAACTGAGACCATTTGGAAAGAACAATACAGATACGCATTACGACTAAACAAACTATGCATAAAATACATGTTTTTGTACATCACTAGACTGCGAGTTCTCATTATAACCAGCAGAGAGCGTTATTAACTTATCAAATAATGTAACAGGATTTTACAGAATGTGGTGGGAACTGAAAATATATTAATTTTGATGTACCAGGATATTAATTAAATAAAAATGAGCAATGTCTGTGCTAAATGATTACACATTAGTTTTACATGCTTTTTCAATTCCATTTCAATTAGAGCAACTTAAAGGAATACCCCGAAATGAAAATGACCAATTACTCTCCTGTCATGTGACATTTCTTTCTTCTGCAGAACACAAAATAAGATATTTTGAAGAACATTGCTTAAAGCACACTGGACCCCACTGACACTGTATGATGCATTTCCCCCCCAAAATATTGTCTTCTGTGTCCAACATAAGAAAGAAATGCATATAGGTTTGGAACACAAATTACATGTGCAACCATAGGCAGAGGGTAAGGCTAAAAGCAGCCAAATCTATTAAATACAGACATCATAAACCTGTCTTTTTTAGGCAAGAACCAGACATGGGTGTCATGTAGGCTAATAAGACATGTTTAATGGGACTGAATTTGTATTTAATGTGATTACAGTTTAATTAAAACATTTTGATACAACAAATTGATGATGGATGGATGGATGGGTGGGTGGATGGATGAGTAGATAGATGATAGATGGATGGATGGGTGGGTGGGTAGATAGATGATAGATGGATGGATGGATGGATGGGTGGGTGGATGGATGGGTAGATAGGTGATAGATGGATGGATGGATGGATGTATGTATGGATGGGTGGATGGATGGATGGATGGATAGATGGATAGATAGATAGATGGATAGATAGATGGATAGATAGATAGATTAGGTGGGTGGGTGGATGGATGGATGGATAGATAGATAGATTGTAAACTTTGCCAGTATACATGTCAGCTGACTTCATTATTTTCCTTCATGTCTGTCACCTTTTAGATGAAACAATGCGCGCTCTCGTGTTTAGTCGCTTGCGCGTTCGCGTATCACCCTCCCCACCCAGGACGCGCCAGGCTGCGTGGAGTGCGCGCTCGAGAGTATTTCCACTGCACGAGAGAGTGAAATACAACAGTCAACCCGCAGAGAGAGACACACATATCATACACATCAGCTCAAGCGGAGCAGTTCTTCAATGAATGACCCAGCAGCAACATGCGCTTCACAGCCACGCCTGCCTTGAACAACACAGCAAACTAGGATACAAGGTACGACAACAAATCAAACGCGATTGAAACTTGTCCTGAACAAACGGTTTGATCGCGCAAAACGTGAAATGCGGCTTCATTTGAGATGCGTTTTCATGCTTCAGCTCTCAGTATGATGATGCTTGCTTCTGTTTGAGACTGAAAAGTAAACGAGCACGAGTCAAAGAGCAGGTGTAAACTGGAATAACACGAAGCCTTCAACTTATTTGGCTTTTAAATGTCAGAACATGTTCTTCAATGGTCCTTTTGATGCAGATGACATGCAAAAGGATTGTTATTATTTTTAGTTCTTAAAGTATTGTTATTGCATGTTTGTGTGCAGATTCTCATAGTTGCGTTTGGTCATGATGCGAGATGTACACTGCGTTTATACAGGATTTTAGGAGATATATATATATATGTGCATGTATGTAACCATATGACTGCTGCTGAACTATTATAGTCATTTTTTTAGCTGTGGCTTGCATATATATACGCATGTTGGCTTCCCTTTGGTGTCTGTGGCCACTTGTTTGTGTCTTTATGTCAGTGTGATCACTTTAAATGAAAGCAGTCCGCACAGGGGTCGATTGTCATCTTTTAGCTTCCATGATGTGTCTTCAATCCATCACAAAGCCCGTTATTATAATGTATTTTGTTTGTTTGGTTACATAAACGGGACTCTTACTATGTGGCCTTCATATCATAATAGTTTTATTTGTTGAATCTGATATAAATAAGGCAGTGCGGTGGATAGATGTTTAAACGGTCTAAATGTTAGAGATGTGATAAAGGGCACTTTATTGCTCGGGACCTGACGGGGATGCACCGTGCAGGCGGGGTTTCCTCGGCTTTTCTGCAGATGGAGGTTCCCTTCTCCTCCCCGCCCATTTAAAACGAGCATTCAGGGTTTGTTCAGTGTGAAATACTAGCCTACTGTATGCCTACTTTTTTTTAATACCATGCATGAAATGGCACCATTCCCTTATTCTGCATTGTGAGAAATCACACCGGACTCTAAACAGCCGAGAGAGTCAGGGGAGCGGCCAGCCAATGAAAACACGCTCTCTACCTGCTAATCATTTTGCGCTTTCGTTTTTGCTGACATCAGGTTGGCTGATGTGTCGAGACGGCGTGCAGCGAGGTCAGCGAAATTGCAGTGCCATTAAAAATGTGAAATAAAATTCAGTATGCAATGCTAAAAAAAAGTTTGAAGCAGTGGAATGACACAATGTGTTGCTTTTTTGCGAGTTGCATTTATATATCATCTCGTAAATTATTTTTAAAACAATTTTGTGTACAATTGTTGACAGTCTGAATTACGTACATCACATACGTACATCACATAGACGTCTATTTGACGTCTGCATTTACATCTGCAAGACGTGTTTGCTCATCTGCAATGCTTCTATAGGACGTTTCCCATAAGATGTCAAATAGATGTTTAGAAAATGTCTTTAAGATGTTTATGATTTAGAATGTATGTAAAACTGACATCTTAAAGACGTCTTTGAGATGTTTGTACACAGCAGATGCTTTCCAGATGAAGCGATCTTTAACAGACATCTTGCAGACGTACGTGTGCTATCTGGGGACAGACAGACGTCCAAAAGTCCTTTCCAAGAGTCCAAAAAGGGAAAAATCCAAGTTGATATTAGACCTAATTCTAGTTCATTAGTCATATAATGGGACCAGGATAGTTGGAACATTCCAATTTACCTGAATTCACCCTAATGTTTGCCAATATTGCATATTGCAGAATTTAAGGCTTTCTAAAATCATGGCAAACTTGGAAACATCTGTGATTTTCAATCCTGGAAAGTTGAATGGGAACTTTTAATTATTAATGGACATTTTTATAGCAAATATACATTTTTCTAGTTATTCTTAACTACATTAGGCCTATTTCATTTTCATCAGCTAGAAATTGCCCTCAAGCCACGGAAATCAATTAGTGAAAAGGGGTGAAACCATGATACTTTTATCATACTGCAGATCTGTATGGTGTAAAATATTCCAAACATAGCCACCAATTCTTCTAATTAATCTACAGCTTGTCATGCATATGCGCCTGCTTGCCTCTTGATTTATAGATTAATATGACAGAGTCGCGAGGCATGGAGGGAAATCTTGAGGCATCTCTAGAGTCATTATGCAATCACTACAATGCTTCAGAAAGCAAGCATGCAAAGACAGTATGTCAGGAGAAGGCAGAGGGCAAGCCAAGAGCTTCTCCTGTATGTCCCTCATGTACATCAGTGTTTGAATCCTCTGAAGATGTGATGCTCAGACATGGAGGCAGAGCAGAGTGTGTGCTTGAGCTGTTTGACATTCTTATCATATTCACTCATCAAGTCAAGGGATGCAGGACTGCAATGGCTGGCTGCTAGTTAATGCTCTGTGTGTGCGTTCAGCATTGAGACGTGAGTGAGAGTTTAAGTCAGTAACTGCTGCAGTGTTCACACAAACACACACACACACACACACCGAGGACTTCCTCTTCTGCACGCTCTGAGTGTGTGTGTGTGTCGACAACATACCCTGCCCTGAAGCAATTCCTACTGAATGAAAGCAAAGCAAATGCTTTAGTGTAAAATTTCAAACGCCACTGCACTGATGGTGTACGACGTACTTTGAAACAATTTTCTCAAATTTTTGGTAAATTTAACAAATGATTACATAGAAATGACAAGTAACATTGAATTACATGTGACATTTTTAAATAGAAAGACTGAAACTCCAATAATATTTGTTTTATTTACAACTTTGTACATTTTTTTTTACAGTCTAGGAAAGCTCTTGAATTTTGATCTATTTTTCAATCCTTCCACCATGTTTTCTCTGCCTGTTTTAAACTCTTTAGATATGTATGAACATTAAATTGTCAGATTACAGCT